CCCATGTCCCTTCTCCTCTGCGCACCGGAGACCATCTGCAGCCAGGGCTCCCAGATGGTAGAAGCTTTGCCAGCTGCTGGCTCTTCAGGACTCCTCTTCTCGCTCCTGCGGTGGGCAGTCGGGGGGATGTTGGCAGAGCAGGGTATGGGCTGCACTGCTAGAGCTTCCCTGGCAGATGCTCTTCTCCACCCGCTACCAGCTCTGTGGGCTTCTCCACCTGCCGACTCCCAGTCTTCCCTGTTGCATAAATTACTCCGTGAGTTTGAGGATCATTTTTCCCCACACCTGCCTGGGGCTTCAGAAACCTATTCCAAAGCATCTGGAGCTGACCTGGGGCACAAAACAAAAGCCTGTCCGTGATGGATGGGGTGGAAAGTCCCTTCTGGTGAACGAGTGCCTCCCCTTCTCTCCACAACCTGCTGCTGGGAGCTGACAGAGGGGCTCAGGAGCTCACCTTTTCCTTACGTGCTCAGGAGGGGTGATTTATCTTTACTGCTGCTCTTGGCAAACACCACCCACCGTGCTAATTGCCTTGCTTGCACACGAGATGCTGAGTGCCAGCACTCGGGCAGGTGGAGATGCTGGATCTGGGCAGGTAGGCGAGGCTGCGGTTACACAGGAGGCTGGTTTCAGGGTCACGGTGCCTGAACAGCTGAGCAGACACTGCGGGGGCGATGCTGCTCGGTGGTGCGTTTTGGGGACGGTAATAAATGGTTGTAGCAAAGCGGGTTAATGCAGCCGGCTGGCCGGTTGTCCCTCGGTCCACCTCAGAGCCCCAGTGATTTAGTAGTACTGCCTACGAGTGTGTAAAATGTTAAGTCTCTGCCTGACTCAGTTCAGGCAGGAAGGTTCTCGCTATGCCTGTCTCACTGCAGCCTGGTCCGTGTTCATCACTGGTACAGGCAGGTGTGCAGGAGGCTGCTGCATTGGTAGGACTGGGCAAGAAAAGCTCTTTCCAAGACAGAAAATGCCCACTGATATTTCCAGAATTTCCCCCTCCACACAGAGGGAAGCCGGCCAGGTGGAGTCTACCATGAAAGAGAGCAAGGGACCGTGCTCAGTCTCAGATTAGCAAGACTCAGTGGGTCCGAGGGGATGGATGCTCTAGCAGGTGTCATTCTTTCA